ACAACTAGTTTTACAGACAGATGCTCCAATGTGTACAGTCAATTTAAAAGATTTACTACTGCAGTAAATTGATTAAAATTGTTTAAGTTATCAATGCACCTAAACAGTAATATATTTAAAAAGTTAGGGATCAGTAAGAATTTTTTTCTAAAAGAAATTAATCATTTTATTCAGCAAGGATACATTAAATTAATAATGAGTGGGAGTAAAGACATTTATAATGCTACAAAAGATTTCTATTCCAAATAAATGCTGCTATTTTGAGCTTTTTATGAAAAACATATCACAGTTTTCACAAAAAATCTTTCTTGAGCAGGAAATCGGTATATTAGAATGATTTCTGAAGGATCATGTGAGTAATGACTGCTGAAAATTCAGCTTTGCATCACAGATATAAATTACATTTAAAGGGGTCATGAACTGAGGAACCAAAATTACCTTGATCTTTTGACATATAAGTCATTGTGCTAAAAAGATATCCTGTAAGTTTCAGAAATCAAAACCTGTTAGTCTAAAAACAGCATATATTGAAGCTAGTCTGCCAAAATTACAGTTTTGAAATATTCTACTCTATGATGTAATAGTGTAGCTAAGCACCGCCTCCGCAGAAGAAGATCAATGCCTGCTTCTACATCACTGCCTGTTTAGCCCCACCCACCGATTCGTGCACGTAGTGTAAATAACGAGAGGTGAACGCAGGTCTACACGGAAACCAAACGATAAAGATGGCTCCTAAAGATACTGTGCAGTGCTAAGCTGTAGTAAAACAGTCTTTGCATTGCTTTACTTCTGATCCCAACATTAGTGGTCACTATTGCTTTGTCTGTTATTACAGATCGTTTGATATGAGTATTTATGCATTTTAAACCTAAATCACTGCAGCGTCCATCTATGAAGGATGTAGGATGTCAAACATTTATTACAACAACTAGTAGCCAATCATAGCAGTGGGCTTTTACAATCCGCCACGCTCAACAAACAGAGCGTTCTGATGAGGGGGGTTAAACACAGGACAGAAAAAAAAATATATATATTTTTTTTTTCATGCAAAAATGTTAATAACATAATAAGTTGACCTCAGATAACAGTACAAAATAAAAAAACAAAGGCAGTTCATGACCCCTTTAAAATATATTTAAAAAGAAAACATTTATTTTAAATTGTAATAATATTTCCCAATATTACGGTTTTATTTTGATTTAAAAAAATGCAGCCATAAAAGACGATGTAAAATTTTGACCAATCCCAAACATTTGAATAGTTGTTATTAGTTATTGTTATTAATACAATTAATAATCATGTCCCTTTTCCAAAACAATAACCAACACAGCAAAGGGTGGAGCTGTATCCTTGTGTGCCTTCCAGAGCTTGAGTGTGAGCAGGAGGGTGGAAGGACACCCACATTTGGACACACGGCTCTTTCTGGCAACCGCACAACCGCCACAGATGGTGGACTCACAAATGAGAGAACACACACTGATACAGGCCCTTTATAAACAGTGGAGGAGTGGAAGAGTAGGCTGACTTTATAACAACTGCCTTTATGGATCCCACTCTTATGCCTGTGTCTGTTTTTTCAGCGGTGAAGGAGAGATTTGCTCTTTACTGATGCTTGCGTGCTGGCCTACATCTGTTTCCTTTATCCCAGCAGCCACTGAGGGAGCTGAGCCAAAGAGGAAGAAGAAAAAGATACGATTGATCTCACTGACGCCCGGCAAGAGCAACAAACAGACGCTATCCCATAAGCCCCAAGGCCCACAAGTACCAGCTGCCATCCCTGCCACACGGGGGACCGACGATGAGAAGAGCGCACAGCTGTCCATCCCAAAATATGGCCAGCCAACACCTGCAGGCCTGTCGGCAAATGTGGCCAACTGTGTGGCCAAACTGATGGCCCACTTGTTTCCACAGAACATGAAATGCATCCTCACAGGCTGTGAGGGATATAATGTGGCCTTTTAATACGGAAGATGATCAGGATCTGTGTATTTATGCACCAGGAGGTCATGGTCGCTATCTCATCTCCTGCGTTGCTTGCCATATTTCAGGAAGGAAGCTGGTGACATTTACACAGCGTGACCGACCCGGAGACAAAACCACAGTGATGCAGCGTTATTATACGCATAGACTGACTACTGGTAAATGCTACCTTATGACAAGACAGTAACGGTGATATATGGATGAGCAACAGAATAACGAGAAAGACTGGTTAGTGTAAACAGACTTAACGGTTCACCCAAGAATTAAAATTATGTTTCAAACCTGTATGACTTTTTCTACTGTGAAAAACAAAGACGAAATTTTAAAGATGGTATCTATCAATTTTTAATGTAATGAAAGTAAGAGAGGACTAGAGCTGTCAAGCTCCAAAATGACAAATTCACCATAAAATTATAAATAAAAATGGACCAAATGGCTCTGTGACGAGAGGGGTGGGGCCGAGAGCCATGGGAACGGAGCAAGGCTGGTGGAGTAAATGCTAATGCGCGACACCTGCACCACTCACCGGTCTCGAGTCCCACGGAGGAGCTCCGGAAGGATAAAAGGAGGAGTGACGACAGTGTTGGACGAGAGAGGACCAGGCCTGGATTTTATTTTGTGTTTTGTGTGCGGCAGTCGTCTGCGAGGGGCTGCCGCTTTACTTTCATTTTGTGTTTATTTGATTAAAGTCTTTAAATGTTCGCTGGTTCCCGCCTCCTTCCCGACCTACGAACGTTGTTACAGACTCATACACTACAAATTTACGCTGTTATTCACTGAAAATCTTGACATCCACCTTAACTTGAACCACCATGAGCTTGATGAGTTCATGAGAGAAGTTGGGAGAGAAGTTGTTCAATTTATGAATGAATCATACTTGTGTAAATAATCTGTTTAAGCAGTTCTAACAAGTCTGAATGACACTACTGATTAATATGATTCTATGGACTGCTATGATTCTCCTGATAGGTATGATTCTACTGATCAAAATTATACTGATTTTAATTATTCTAATGACAGGAATGATTATGATTGGAACAATTATACTGATCGAAATGATTCTACAGATTTGAATGATTCTACTGATCTGAATGATTGGAATCATAATGATTATATGATGATCAAAGTGATACTGAATGGAATAATTCTACTGATCAGAATGATTCTAATGAACAGAATGATGCTCATCAGAATGATTCAGTTGATGATTTACATTTAAATACATTGTCCACATTGTTATATTTACTATTTTTAGGGCGCCTTTTGTCATTTTGGGGCTTGTCATTTCCAGTCCTTATTCAGTTGCATTATATCGACAAGAGTGATTTTATTTAAAAAAAATTCTAATTTTGTTTTCCAAAAAAAAAAAAAAAACATTTCCAAATGCAACAGGACCATACAGTATGAGTAAACACCAGGGCACAAAAAAAAAAAAAATCTTCCCACACAACACTGAGTGCACATCGACTACATGTGCTTTAATTTTGAACAGCTGCATAGTCTTGGGTTTTCTCATTTACGTGCCAAAATAAGAATGGAGAAAAAAAACACCTTGTGACTTACAAATCATTCATGCTGTAATGAGCACAGATGTTCCTCCTCACGTGTTACAGGACACATTTACCCTCATTACATTGAACGGATCGGTATGACGGTGGTCGTATCTCAGGCATATGGGCCCATCTGCATGCTAAGGGGGCCCCCAAACTTTCGAATGATTATTATTATCATTTTAATTAAATGTTATCTTCTATACACAAACATGTTTTAACCATTATTAGTGTAGTAAAATAAAATTACAATCTGTAAATTATAGAAATGATTAGTGAAAGTGAACTTCTTTTACTGTAACTTAAAAATAGAACCCATGACGTTAATGACACAAAGAAGAACATGATGTATAGAAAGAAGCACTTGTTTGGTGGCCTTCGGTGGATCTTACAAATTGGGTATAATATCAAAATCAGAATAGGCATGATATTGGTTGTGATACTTCCAGTAATGGACAATTAAATAATTACAGTAATTTCTTTATTTTTAGTGCCTTATATAATGTAATTATTTTTTTTTTAAATGAAATAAAAATACATTAAAATTAAGGGGGCCATCAAGGCAACTGCCAAGTCTGAAAGCTCTTAACTCTAAAAGAGTATTTCACAGGAAATCAGGGCAGATCACTGTCGTTATGTGGGTCAATAATACATCTATAAAGGAGACAAAGAAAAAGCATATTAATAACTCCTATGACTATATGACTACACTTGACATGCTAGTTAATACAAAAGCATAGGTGCCTTTACATACAATATTTATCTTTATTTTTATTTTAATTGCCCGAGGGCATACTGAAGACAGACATGTTACACTATTTGGCAAGTCACTGTCTGATAGCCAAAATAAGACATACATTTTACAAAACATCTGACAAATACAATAAAATATGAAAAAAAAAAAATGTATATCGTTTTTTCATATTTTTTTTTACTTTTTTTGTATTTTATACAAATATTTTATTTGTATTCTTTCTCTCTAATTTTATATATGGAATTATAATTTTAGATTATATTTACATGTATAATATATATAATTCAGATATGCTAAGTGAATGGCAAATGACATAATGACATCTATACACTGATTTAGAAATAATCCTCTAGTTTACATCTCTCTGTGGGTTTTTTGACACAATTACCAAAAATAGCTTGCAGACCATCTTGTGTGATGCTGAATGTGGCTGCAAAAGCACATCAGTGATCCGAATGACAAACAATTAAAAGTATTTTTTTGAGCAAACCATATAGGTTATTAGAAACAATTTACAGTGCAGGATAACCACTGTTTTCATATTCATGACTTTAAAACTACATAAAATCAAAGTAATTCACTTCAGTGACAATTAGGTTCAATAACGTGTTGAGACACCCAACAGATCATTAACCTGAGAAACGAAACATTTTCTTTATTTGTACAATGAATATTTTAAGAAGATCGTCATTATATATGATAAATATGGCACTTACGCTCTCTGCTGAGGAAATCCCATCGAAAGCAGCACGTCCAGATTGGATCCATGTTTGACAGAGACGCAACTGTTCTGTCTCAGTCGGCACGGAATAATCTTTGAGTAAAGATCCTCCTTTGCTGCCATCCTTCAGTCCCATCAAATGATACTGACGACAGTCGAAGACTACACATCCACATCTGCTTATTTAGCGATTTACACTATGACTACAAGCATAATCGTCCCTCCTCCTGACAGCGGCAGCGTATGTTTGTATACAGTAGCCTAGTTATACAGTAGATAAACGAGCTACAGATAATGGCTGTGTTTCAAAAACCTATTGAGCTGCCTACTTACTAAACAACATTTTGGACATCATTGGCGGGTTTCAAGTCAGGACACGGCAGTACATTTGAGCAACGCGCCTGTATGCCCAAAATGCTGTCTAAGTAGGCAGGTCACGAGGTTTTGAGACACAGCCCAAGTAATATGCGCGTCAAACACTATAACTAGCAGACACGTTTACTCGTCATGCTTGACACTAACCCGATTTAAGTAGCCTAATTTACCTAAAAGTCTTAAGCTGATCACAATTTACCGTTTACTGTGTCACATGACCCGCAATATCAAGTAAATGATCAAAATAACTACCATTGCTTACTTTTATTTTATTTATTCAATTTATTTGTACAGGGACAACGCACAACAACAGTGTTGTGCCAGAGTTAGCTATAAAGCTAAGTTGCATCTGCAGTCCCTGCCTTATGTTATTATAACTTATGTTATTTGAGTACTAATGTAAAGTGAGTCAAATAATTTATTTGATTCATTCACATATTGACATACATATGATAAAATTGGAGAAATTTCCTGGTAGTGTACACTATAATAATATAGCCTAGATTTAAATAACTCCATTCACAATCACGTCTGGAATAAACACTTTCGGCTCTGCACAAAAATGTCTTTACAACACAAGAACAGGATGGGTGTGAAAGGCTACCAATGCAAAGTCAATTGTTTCTCATTTCTATCCGAAACATACAACAATTGGAGCCCCACCTTCTGCTAAGCAATGACCTGTGATAAATGAGTCTGAAATAGGAAAACAGTGGCAAGTTCATTTAAACTCAAGTTCAAAACTGAAGACAAACTTAAAAGGAATAGTTCTCCCAAAAAACGAAAAGTCTGTCATCATTTACTTACCCTCGAGTCAATTCAAACCTCTGTATGACCTAATGTTCTTCTGTGGAACACAAAAGAAAATATTTTGAAGAATGTTAGTAACCAAACAATAAATAAAAAAATGGTTTCCATTGATTTTCATTGTATGGACAAAAAATAGTAAAATATCTTTTTTTATGCTCCTCAGAAGAAAATACATACATGTTTGGAATGACATGAGAGTAAATGATGACAGAATTTTTATTTTTGGGTGAACTATCTCTTTAAGGAATGTACCTCTAGCGGAGTCTTTATAAGCAAACTGCTTTTTTTTTTGCAAACAAACAATTAAACCTTTTCACTGAGTGATCAGCTTTGACTCTGCACTGATGGGTCATAAGGCACAATAAGACAAAACACACATCCTGCCTCTTGGAAAGCCCTCTTCATCTCCACCTAGTGGTAAAACATAATAAAGATTTATACACTATGACTAAAATTCTGTGTGTATAATGTGCAACATTGATAATAGTAAGAAATGTTTCTTGGGCACCAGATCATGTGACATTACATTTTAAAATACATTAAACTAGTAAACAGTTATTTACTATTTCATATTATTACTGTTTCTGTATTTTTAATCCAAAAAAATTTAGCCTTGGTGAGCGTGAGATTTCTTAAAAAAAATAAAAAAAATTTACATTTAAAAAATCCTACCAATCCCACCAAACTCAAACATGTATATTCAAGTGTATATTTATGTTTGATATAATTTTGCATTCATAATGTCCAAATATGGAAGAATTTTTTTTTTCTAAAACAAATACATTAAAATGGTTTACTGAGCAAAAATGTTGAAGTATGAATGTTGTCATAGAAATCATTTCCAATAGCACATGCTCTCTGAGTAGAATCTCTACAGTAGGTTGTTTCCCCCTAATTACGGTAATTCACACATAATGTAAATTAAATTAAAAACAAGTCAAAAGATCCACCGTACCAGCCGCTCAGGGTCCATACATAATCCAACCACAGCACCACCACTGCCAGGCAATTTGACTGCAGATCCAAACTACACAGACAACAAAGAATCATTCAGATGTGCTGCTTGTTTTCTGTAAGTCATATTACCTCTAATGCCATTAGTAAAGAAATTCATGGAACAACTCAAGGTATCAGTTATGAGAACTTTAAGAAATGATGGATGCATTGACGCATTTATTTACCACTCTCGCAAGCTGTACCATTTTGAGATTTCCAGGGCCCAAACAGTCGTCAGTATACACTGACCTGATGGACAAATTGCAACTTCAACAGTGGCATTTTTGGCTATTTATAAATTAAACTGTATTTTAAAAAAATGCAGTCAAACTTCTGTTCAGCTTTGTTTGAGAGTTTGATGGATGGACTATAGCATCATACTGCCATAGCTCAAAGTTTTCATCCATGAGCTGTGCAAGTCTGGGCCAGTCTTTACACTGAAAGGCAGCCCTGCATACAGTAAGAAAAGCATTGTTTTCATTGACCACTCGTTATCCTGAATGAACAGTAAGGCTGATGATACACAGGGCAACTTTTTGAGCAATGTTGCCGTCAAAGGGCAACCAGGTGAGACACAGGGCCCACAACCAATCTAAAGTATCCAGGTAGAAATTTGTTGCCCATTTTCACTTGTAAAGTGCCCAAACAACATTGCTCAAAAAAAAGTTGCCTGGCAAAATTGCTCAAAAAGTTACCCCATGTATCATCTGCCTAAAGCAGGGGTGGGCAAACTTGGCCCTTCCAGGCCACTTTCCTTCAGAGGTTAGCTCCAACCCTAATCAAACACACCTGAACCAGCTAATCATTGTCTTCAAGACTACTAGAAGGCTACAGGCAGGTGAGTCATATCAGGGTTGGATCAAATCTCTGCAGGAAAGTGGCCTGGAAGGGCCAAGTTTGCCCATCACTGGCCTAAAGCTACAAGAGCTATTACAGCATGAAAAGTGTAACACAACAATTGCCGAAGGGCAAATGCTCAAAGATAAACCTACCTGGCTTGATCTGTGAGTTCAGCAAATGATTTCATAGCTTCAACAACAGCAGAATCACCTGTTCAGAAAGGAGACGACTTGTGAAAGGCTTAATTTCTTTACAAATAGCACATAAACCAGGACATGAAGTAGAACTTACCGTTCAACCAGCACTGTCTAACATTACTGTGAATCCGTCCAGAATCACTTGGATCGCCCAAATAGGCTAGCCAGAACAAGCGAAGATCGCTCATGTCCAAGGGAATGTACTCTCCTATAGAAATTAATATTTTGACATATAGTAAAGCCTCTTAAAATTCAAGTTTCTATTGCTGTACAAATACAGTACCATTTTCAACTTTGAAAATGTTAAGTAAGGTTTTTTGAGCAGCAGATCGGCATATTAGAATGATTTCTGAAGGATCATGTGACACTGAAGACTGGAGTAATGGCAGGAATAAATTACATTTTAAAATATTTTCAAATAGAAAGCTTTCTTTCTTTCTTTCTTTCTTTCTTTCTTTCTTTCTTTCTTTCAGATAAATGCATCCCTGGTGAGCAGAAGACACTTCATTCCAATACATACAAAAGTCTACCAACCCGAACCCCACACTTTTGAATGATGAACATCCCAGGTTTATATTCAATAATGAAAAATGTTATTTATATTGCCCAGAATAATATTTAGGTTCAAAATCAGTACCATAACCCCTCTCATCTATCAGCTGTTTGTTGAAGTCCATGTAAACCAAGCCTTCACAGACTTATTAGAAAGTTAATAGAGACAATCATGTTCCACACAGTGCATGTCAAATTGATGAGTCAAATTAATATGAATGTACATACCTGCACAACTCTATCCTGTAGACCAGCTGTGATGAACAGCTCATCAGTCTCTACATTGAGGATGAAGTTGGCTCTGACTGGTTTAGGAAGATCCTGTCCCAGGATAAAATTGAGCTAATAGTTTATCAACATAAAAAAAGTTCTAAATCAAACCGCTGATTGGCAAATGCTGAACATACGTTGTCTGTGATGTTGTAGAACTTCATCAGGCACTTCAAGGTGGCAGACACAATCGCACTACACAGAAAACACCCAAAAGGTGATGTTACAATATTAACATTTAATCCGAATAACAGTGTTTCAAACCAAAAATCCACTTACAAGATCAAACACCAAGTGTACTGAACCTTGAATAATATCATACATTATGTTAAACTGTAAATCAAAAAGGGCATGAATGAGCTTGGGAGAAACTGACTGTTAATGTTCATTTAGGTTTGTAAGTCAATGTTCAACTCACCTACTGCCAGCTAAACCCTAGAAGTCAAAAGAAACGTAGTACAAAGTTATTTCATCAAAATAAACTCTCAGAACTTCAACTCTAAATAAACTGCAAATAATATGAATAAGTCTCACCACTTGCCGAGGAATGTTTGTGTCATACTTAAAAGAGTAAAATTCTGCTTGGACAGAGCAATGCTGTTAGCATAAAAGAGGCATAAAATACACACAAGTCAGTGTCTTAACAGAAAAAGGTGAATTTTCATTTCATGCCAACTTATGTTTACAATTGTATTGCAGCATCTCACCCTTGTTCAGAGCAGAACTGGTAAAACTTTTTACAGGTGGCTTGTAGAAGTCTCAGACCTCCCAAATACCTGGAAGACAATTAAATAAATAGTATTAATTACAATAATTTTTGTTGTACCACAAACCTTCTGCAAACCATCTCCAAAGCAAAGCAATACAATTTTTGAGCAGAGACAAATGACTGGACAAACCCTTCTTTCCGGCTGATCCGAAAAAGATCCTGCAAGCTTCCGAATTCTGTGGGATCATTCAGAGGATGAGGTAGAAGGACCTTGATAAAATTAACGAGATAAGTGAAGAACAGTGCTTTCCTCGTGTCTTTGATTTCTTATCTCAATCTGTTCTTATTTACCAGAGTCTGGCTCTCGATGAGCGTGACCTCAGCCCAGAAGTTAGCGATGCTCATAGCAATGGTTTTCCCATTGAAACCATCAGAGGGGTTCCCCATGAGTCCAACCCTGTGAGTCAACACACAGACCTATGTATAGTGATGAAAAGTAGGTGTTTGTGGATACTAGCTAATGTGTTCTGCCTGACCTGGCATATGAGCGGCATGTGATGGGTTTAGACGGGGACAACGGCTGCTTTGAAGAATAGTGTGCGAGCCATTTTGTGTAATCAGACAGACCCTGTAATAACAGATGTTAAAATGTATTAATTTGTATTTATATTAATACAAAATTTATGTATAGAATAATGTGGTATAAACGATTGTTCAAACTTATTTTTTTATTTAATTCAAGGATGCATTAAATTCATCCAAAGTGTTATTTACATAATATTACAAAAGTTTTGTATTTCAAATAAATGCTGTCCTTTAGAACGTTCTATTCATCAAAGATTCCTGAAAAAAAAAAA